CTCTTCCAAGCTTTGAATCGTGTCCTGACACTCTTCTTCCACAAGTATGGTCGGCTTGTCTCCGTTGTAGAGTCCTGAACCGTTGAGGTACTCCTCGTCTTTGTTATATTGTTCCGGCCCAGAGGAAGGCAAGGAGTTCTCGGAAATGGAGCCGTTTTTGACGTATCCGGGCAAATTCCGGTGTCCGTTGACAGAGCCGGGGAGGAGTCTCGTGTTGAGGTGGAGGGCAATGCTTCCACCCCCGCGGGTGGTCACGTTTGTGATGCTGGTGTGCGAGACCATGGGTCCGTAGCTGTAGGTGGTGCTCCCGCTGCGGGCTTTGCGCTTGAAGTCCAGCGCCAATGTCCATCGGCTCCACGACTTCTTGATTTCGGCTTGAACCTGACAAGGTCAAGAAAGAGAAAGCAGGGCTGTTATTGTATTGTCGAAGGCTTTCATGGCTGGAATGACTAGGTTCTTGTGGGTTTTTTCGGGCTATAGAGCCATGTTCTAGAGGCATTTCTCCTGACATTTCGCCTGCATCTATGGCAAGCATCCTCAGAGGTAGTGAGGTCTGTTGGAATTAGGACAATGGGTTTATATATCTGTGGAATGGCTGGGGTGGGGCAAAGAGCTCTTCTCTGCTGGAGCTAGGTGTGAATGTTTCAGCTGACCACCTTCATTAGCATTTGAAGGCCTGGCTGAGCCTGGGAAAATCTCTTGCTGAGAGGTGTTAAGATGAGGAAGAGACCATGGAAGAGACCAAGGAAGAGACAATGAAAATGAACAAAATCTGGCTACCAGTATTAAAAAAAACTCTAAAATTACAACAGCAAAACAACAGAGAGGAAACAACCAGGCACATCTTAATACCTCTCAACAAAAGTCCACACCAAACAACTGCCAGGCCATGAAATGGCAATCAAGGTGGTTAGCTGAAACATTCACACCTAGCTCCAACAGACAAGAGTCCTTTGTCCCACCCTGGTCATTCCACAGATATATAAACCCTTTTCCTAGTTCAACAGACCTCACAACCTCTGAGGATGCTTGCCATAGATGCAGGCGAAACGTCAGGAGAGAATGCCTCTAGAACATGGCCATATAGCCCGAAAAAACCCACAAAACCTAGGGTTGTTATTGTTATCAGAGAATCATCAGAGTCCAATCACTTCTCTCACACAAGAAGACCCCATTCAAACTTTCCAGACAGATGGCCATCCACCCCAAGGGCCATCCAGTCCAACCTCCTGCCATGAAGAAAGGCAAGGGAAGGGAGGGGGGTCTATGTTCTCCTTGGTTTGAAGATACCCCCAGTGTCATCCAACCCAACTCCCTTCTGCCATTCAGGAGGACACAATCCAAGCCCTCTCAACATATGGTGTAACGGAATAACTAATTATAATGGAGGTTTTGTATATGTTTATTGCTGTTGAGTATTATTACAAGCACAGGCTGGAGTTGTCTACATATGATTTTTGTCTATCAAACAATAATAATAATAATGGAAATTATTAGAAATAATAATAATAATAATAATAATAATAGAAAAAGTTACAGAGAATGAATACGCCAAACTCCTCTGGGACAGCCAGAGTTTTGGAACATAATATTTATTTACTGTATTTGTATACCGCCTTTCTCAGCCAATTGGCGACTCAAGGCGGTTTCCAACAAATCAGTACACTTAAAACGTAATAGATAAAAAACATTAAACAGCACAAAACATCATAAAAGCAATAAAAGCAGCATCTCATTATTCTCAAGCATTGTCCAATTCCATTGTCAGGTCATTCAATTTCCTATATTAGCTACTCTGTATTTGTAAACGCTTGCTCGAATAGCCACGTTTTAACTTGCCTCCGAAACGTCAAGAGGAGGGAGCAGATCTGATTTCCCTAGGGAGGGCATTCCATAGCCGAGGGGCCACCACTGAGAAGGCCCTGTCTCTCGTCCCCGCCAAACGTGCTTGTGACAAAGGCGGGACCGAGAGCAGGGCCTCCCCAGATGATCTTAAAGTCCTCAGTGGTTCGTAAGGGGAGATACGTTTAGACAGGTAAGTTGGGCCAGAACCTTTTAGGGCTTTATAGGCCAAAGCCAGCACTTTGAATTGTGCCTGGTACCAAACTGGCAGCCAGTGGAGCTGGCACAACAAGGGGGTTGTATGCTCCCTGAGCGCCGCTCCTGTTAACAACCTGGCTGCCATTCGTCTATTTGAAGCTTCCGAGCAGTCTTCAAAGGCAACCCCACGTAGAGAGCGTTGCAGTAGTCTATATGGGATGTAACCAGAGCGTGGACTACCGTGGCCAAGTCAGACTTCCCAAGGTACGGGCGCAGCTGGCGCACAAGTTTTAACTGTGCAAATGCTCCCCTGGTCACTGCCGATACCTGAGGTTCCAGGCCCAGCGATGAGTCCAAGATCACACCCAAGCTGTGAACCTGCGTCTTCAGGGGGAGTGTCACCCTGTCCAACACAGGCTGTAACCCTATGCCCTGTTCGGCCTTGCGACTGACCAGGAGTACCTCTGTCTTGTCTGGATTCAATTTCAATTTGTTTGCCCTCATCCAGACCGTCACAGCGGCCAAGCACCGGTTCAGGACCTGGACAGCCTCCTTAGTAGCAGGTGGAAAGGAGTGACAGAGTTGGACCATCATTGTTAAAAAACAAAGTATGGATCGTTCGATGTCGCAATCCCAGGTGACAGCAGGATTGCAGAGAAACACTGGACGGGGTCACACTCCCCCTGAAGACATAGGTTCGCAGTTTGGGAGTGATCTTGGACTCGTTACTGAGCCTGGAAACCCAGGTTTCAGCGGTGACCAGGGGAGCATTCGCACAGTTAAAGCTTGTGCGCCAGCTGCGCCCGTACCTTGGGAAGTCTGACTTGGCCACGGTAGTCCACGCTCTGGTTACATCCCGTATAGACTACTGCAACGCTCTCTACGTGGGGTTGCCTTTGAAGACTGCTCGGAAGCTTCAAATGGTCCAACGATCGGCAGCCAGGTTGCTAACAGGAGCGGCACTCAGGGAGCATACAACTTCTGTTGCGCCAGCTCCACTGGCTGCCAATTTGCTACCGGGCACAATTCAAAGTGCTGGCTTTAGCCTTTAAAGCCCTAAACGGTTCTGGCCCAACCTATCTGTCCGAATGAACCAGTTAGGACGTTAAGATCATCTGGGGAGGCCCTGCTCTTGTCCCGCCGGCCTCACAAGCACGCCTGGCGGGGACGAGAGACAGGGCCTTCCCAGTAGTGGCCCCTCGGCTGTGGAACGCCCTTCCTACAGACATCAGATCGGCCCCCTCCTATCTGGCATTCCGGAAGAGAGTGAAGACCTGGCTCTTCGAACAGGCTTTCAACTAAGCAGTGCAATTGATTGATTACTGGAATATGGATTAATGGACAACGAGATCGGATGCTGATTCTATTGATGAGACGTGATGGATTGTTGTTTTGCTGTATTGTTGTATTGATGTGAATTAATTGATATTGCTGTTTTAATTGATTAATGATCTGTTTTGTACTATTGAATTGGTTGTTAACCGCTCTGAGTCGCCTGAGGGCATTATACAAGTGAAGTAAATAAATAATAAATAAATAAAGACCTAATTGTAAAGACTCTGGCACAAGCCAGTAAAGGTGGTCCCAGTGGTTATTAAACACAAACACAATTAAACTTAAACACAATCGGCGCTGACAAAATTACCACCTGCCAGCTGCAGAAGGCCACCTTACTGGGATCTGCACGCATTATTCGCCGATACATCACACAGCCCTAGACACTTGGGAAGTGTCCGACGTGTGATCCAATACAATAGCCAACAGAGTGTCTGCTGTAGACTCATCATGTTGTGTTTCAAATAATAATAATAATAATAATAATAATAATAATAATAATTGTTATTCAAGACATCTAGTCTTGCCTTCCTTTGCTCCAGAAAGAGAAGACTGCATGTTGGGTTGCAATGATGTGTTTGGCGTCAAAGACACTTACCTCCCCATTGCAAAAACAATAGATAATGGCGACAAAAAATCCCTAGAAAGAAGAAGAAGAAAAAGAAGATATTAATATTTATTTAGCATGACCCAAAGAGTCTGAAAAAGTCAGATGTTGGGCAACCCCAGAATCCATCATCTTTGAATATTTGAAAGGAAATCAGAAAATGGGTTGTTGTAGGTTTTTTCGGGCTATATGGCCATGGTCTAGAGGCATTTTCTCCTGACGTTTCGCCTGCATCTATGGCAAGCATCCTCAGAGGTAGTGAGGTCGTGTGTCTTGGAACAGTTTCGAACATGGCCATATAGCCCCAAAAAACCTACAAGAACCTAGTGATTCCAGCCATGAAAGCCTTCGACAATACATTGAACATCTCTACGGGGAGAAACTGTTCCAAGACCCACTACCTCTGAGGATGCTTGCCATAGATGCAGGCGAAACGTCAGGAGAAATGCCTCTAGAACATGGCCATATAGCCTGAAAAAACCTACAGCAACCCGGTGATTCTGGCCATGAAAGCCTTCGACAATACAAATCAGAAAATGCTTGCAAACCCTGACAAGAGAGAGTAGGAAATGGCAGGTAAGGCTTTCTTTCTTTCTTTTCTTAACTTTTCTATCTTTGCTTTCATCCAATCTACACCCACTTCTTTATTTTAGTTTAGGTAAGGAAAAAAAACTTTTAATGTCATAGAAACCTTTTTTGGTATTAGATAAATCCTGAAGAAGACAATAACAAAGGATGTTAAAAATATCCCCATTCCAGACCCATTCTTTTGTCCTCCACACTCTGTTAATACAAAAGGAAAGAAGAATACTGGAGGTCAAGACTTCTCACAATTCAGAATGTTTCCTATGCAAAAATGTTGCACCCTATCCATACCTGGAAAGAGTTGAAGAGCATTTCATAATGCATCTGGATTTGCCAGAGGATCCCTGACACTTCGGTGTACGGCATCGCCATGAAGACGATATAATGGACTCCGAAGAGTGGCATGAGGACCAGCGTCGATTTCAGCAGCTTCCTGAGAAAGAGGAAGAATGAGAGACTCTGGATTCGTCTGTTTTTGTTACCTAGGCATTTTAACTACACGACTTTCTTCAAGAACAAGAAACAACAACAACAGACTCAGAGAACTCATCTTAGTGACTAGATAGGACCCAGATAAAGCAATTTTGCAGTATTTATTTATTTATCGTGTCATCAGCAACCATTCATTTGTATTACATTTTTAACAAAACAAACAAACAAACAAACAGACAAAACACAAAGTTTGCAAGCTTGGTAGTTGATTAAATGTCCTTTGACCAGTATCTGGCCCCTTGGAGTGCCTCTGGTGTTGCCGCAAGGAGGTCCGCCATTGTGCATGTAGCAGGGCTCAGGTTGCATTGTAGCTGGTGCTCTGTAGTTTGCTCTTCTCCACACTCACATGTCATGGATTCCACTTTGTGGCCCCATTTCTTGAGGTTGGCTCTGCATCTCGTGGTGCCAGAGTGCAGTCTGTTCAGCGCCTTCCAAGTTGCCCAGTTTTCTGTGTGCCCAGGGGGGAGTCTCTCATTTGGTATCAGCCATTGGTTGAGGCTCTGGGTTTGAGCCTGCCACTTTTGGACTCTAGCTTGCTGAGGTGTTCCAGCAAGTGTCTCTGTAGATCTTTGATTTTGTCATTTGGGAGTTGTGCTGGGATTTATAGTTCACTTACAATCAAAGAGCATTCTGAACTCCACCAACGATGGAATTGAACCAAACTTGGCACACAAAACTCTCACAACCAACAGAAAATACTGGAAGGGTTTGGTGGGCATTAACCTTGACTTTTGGACTTGTAGTTCACCTACATCCAGAGAGCACTGTGGACTCAAACAATGATGGATCTGGAGCAAACTTGGCACAAATACTCAATATGCCCAAATGTAAACACTGGTTGAGTTTGGGGAAAACAGACCTTGACATTTGGAAGTTGTAGTTGCTGGGATTTATAGTTCACCTACAAGCAAAGAGCATTCTGAACTCCACCAACGATGGAATTGAACCAATCTTGGCACACACAACTCCCATGACCAACAGAAAATACTGGAAGGGTTTGGTGGGCATTGACCTTGAGTTTTGGAGTTGTAGTTCACCTATATCCAGAGAGCACTGTGGACCCAAACAATGATGGATCTGGACCAAACTTGGCACAAATACTCAATATGCCCAAATGTGAACACTGGTTGAGTTTGGGGAAAACGGACCTTGACATTTGGGATTTGTAGTTGCTGGGATTTATAGTTCACCTACAATCAAAGAACATTCTGAAGCCCACCAATGAGAGAATTGGGCCAAACTTCCCACATGGAACCCCCATGACCAACTGAAAATGCTGTATTTTCTGATGGTCTTTGGTGACCCCTCTGAAACCCCCTCACGACCTTCCCAGGAGTCTCGACCCCCATGTTGAGAAACTCTGACGTGAGGTATCATAACCTTGCTTACAATTGAATAGGTAAGTTTGGCGAGCTGCCTTCTGGAAGCAGAGAAATCATTTTCTTTCTGTTTTTGCACTTAACCATTGCACTTTGGTTAAGCAAACCGAATGCAGCAGTTTTTAAATGTCCCAATACTTTCCCAAGAAAAATATGTGTGAATAAGACATCAACAGAGCCATGTGTTGCCTATTCATCTGTCTATCATCTGTCTGTCAATCTGTCTATCTATCCGCCTCCATCTCTCGTTTACTCAACAGCTAATTAAATTCTATCATAGTTTCCCTTCTGAATGACCTCCTGTCTGTCAAATGCAGAAAAGACTTACTTTCCAAGCACTGGATTTTATAAATAGCGTCCTTGCTTTGCAATTATCCCCTGACTTCAATATAGATCAGATACGTTTGTTTCCAGCACTTTATTGCCAGCAGACTAACGTTACGGGAACATGAAGGTAACTATAGCTTTGATTTGACGATATCTTAACCAAAACGTATGTTCGGCAAAAATACATTGAATGCAAGATCAGAGTGCTTTCAAGAATCAACCCAAACCAGGGCCAAGGCTTGTCTGGAGGGATTCCTGTCTCCAGGGGCATCTTCCAGCAAAACCTTTTGATGAGAAAGTGGCAAGTCTTTCCTTTCTAACAAGCTCTGGGCAACCGCCAGTCTCGCCTTGGTTGCCTCCAGGCAAAGTCACCATGACACATTCAAGGCATAGAAGGCAGGTGAGAAATGCCTCCTAACGAGCCACAGCAAATGGAAGTAGTGCTCTTGTTGCAACATAGTCTGCTCTCCACCTTTGCTGGGTTTAAGGACTCAGGACCTCCATGAAAGTGAACAACCCCCTTCTTTTTAAAACTCGGAATCCATACTCTTTTCCACCAGACTCCAAGGAAGCCCCTCGGATACTGGACCAGTGCCTGGCCGCTGTGATGACCTGGATGAGGACGAACAAGCTGAGGATCAATCCTGACAAGATAGAGGTCCTCCAAGTCAGTCACTCGTCTGATTGGGGTATTGGGTGGCAATTTGTGCTGGATGGGGTTGCACTCCCCCTGAAGTCACAGGTCCGCAGCTTGGGGGTCTTCAGGTGATCCCTCGTTTTCCAAGGAGGATTGTCTTCCAATATTTTTGTGGGTCCGTATGTGGCTGTAGAGCCCTATTCTTGCTCTGCATCTTCTTCTGCAGTGAGGGCATTGGTTTCCAGGTGGAAGGCGGTCTCGGTCAGGGGTTGGCTTGATGCGCCTTCCTCTTGGTATGCTTCTCTCTTTCACCCTCCATTCGTGCCTCTTCAAATTCTGCAGCACTGCTGGTCACAGCTGACCTCCAGCTGGAGCGCTCAAGGGCCAGGCTTCCCAGTTCTCAGTGTCTATGCCAGAGTTTTTAAGGTTGGCTTTGAGCCCATCTTTAAATCTCTTTTCCTGTCCACCAACATTCCGTTTTCCATTCTTGAGTTCAGAGTAGAGCAACTGCTTTGGGAGACGGTGATTGGGCATCCGGACAATGTGGCCGGTCCAGCGGAGTTGATGGCGGAGGACCATCGCTTCAATGCTGGTGGTCTTTGCTTCTTCCAGCATACTGACGTTTGTCCGCCTGTCTTCCCAAGAGATTTGCAGGATTTTCCGGAGGCAGCGCTGATGAAATCGTTCCAGGAGTTGCATGTGACGTCTGTGGACTGTCCACGTCTTGCAAGCGTATAGCAGGGTTGGGAGGACAATAGCTTTATAAACAAGCCCCTTGGTCTCCCTACGGATGTCCTGGTCCTCAAACACTCTCTGCTTCATTCAGAAAAATGCTGCACTCGCAGAGCTCAGGCGGTGTTGTATTCCAGTGTCAATGTTGACTTTTGTGGAGAGGTGGCTGCCAAGGTACAACAATCTTGGAAAACAATCCTACTCGGACAACAAGGGGTCACCTAAGAGTTTATTAGAAGTTCAGTAAATGGAAATGAATAGTCATTTGAAGCACAATTGAATGCCAGAGAAAGTGAGACTGCTTAGTTTGTGTCAGGTTTTACAATGTATTGTAATGCAATATAGCTGAGTCATGCACTGCTAATAGGCTTCTATTGGAAATGCTGAATCATGCATTAACTGAATATAGGGAATCATTTGGGGAATGTGTTCTGGCCTAGTCCAGGTGATTGTGAATGATGTAATCCTGGGTCTAAGTTAAGTTAATGAGTTGGGAACCAATCAGAGATTTCTATGTGTAATTGTATAGAATTGTATATAAGGAAGTCATGTACAGTGTATTCTCTCTCCTTGTGCTGTGATGCTCTTCGTCGAAGGCTCTATGTAATTGATTAAAAGAACCTGTCTGCTAAGACAAGATATAACCGTGTGCTGTGGTAAGTTTGTAGTGTCATCTAGATTGGAGGGGAAAACAATAGTAAAACTGACAATGGCCGGGCATGTGCTCAAGTGTCTGTAAAAGAGTTCCAGAGTGACTGCAGTTTGTGGGAGCAGTTGACTGAAAATACTGTGCAGGAAGAAGCTACTGGAAAGCGCTGAAGTTGTGCAACTGATCTGCTGCTGAATTGTGAAATTAATCTCAACAGTTTGTCACTGCAAGATCCCATGCGAATGTCATAGACCCCTACAGCAGGGGTTCTCAACCTTCCTAATGCTTTGACCCCTTAATACAGTCCCTCATGTTGTGGTGACCCCCAACCATAATATTGTTTTCGTTGCTACTTCATAACAGTCATTTTACTACTGTTATAAATCATAATGTACATATCAGATATGCAGGATGCATTTTCATTCACTGGACCAAAGTGGGCACAAATACCCAATATACCCAAATGTGAATGCTAGTGGGGTTGGGGGAAGATTGATTTTGTAATTTGGGAATTGTAGTTGCTGGGATTTATAGTTCACTTGTAATCAAAGAGCATTCTGAACTCCACCAGCGATGGATTTGAACCAAACTTGGCTCCCATGACCGATGGAAAACACTGGAAGAGTTTGATGGGCATTGACCTTGAGTTTGGCAGTTGTAGTTCACCTATATCCAGAGAGCACTGTGGACTCACGCAATGGTGGATCTGGACCAAACTTGGCATGGATACTCAATATGCCCAAATGTGAAGACTGGTGGAGTCTGGGGAAAATAGATCTTGACATTTGGGAGTTGTAGTTGCTGGGATTTATAGTTCATTACAATCAGAGAACATTCTGAACTCCACCAACGATAGAATTGGCTCAAACTTCCCACATGGAATCCCCATGACCATCAGAAAATACTGTGTTTTCTGATGGTCTTTGGCGACCCCTCTGACACCCTCTCGCAACCCCCTCAGGGGTCCCAACCCCCAGGTTGAGAAACACTGCCCTACAGTGTATGCCAGAAAGCATGGCACAGAGTGTTTTAATTCTGCTATGGAAGAACTGGAAACTTTAGGATGGAATGGAGATAGAAGTTCCACACATGGCAACAAATTGCCATTAGAAGCCCAAGCGAGTGACAGAGAAAGTGAGGCCACCCAGGAAACCTTATGTTTGTCACTTTGAGATTCCAATGGAGACAAAGGCAAGGACGGCATGCAAATGCCACAG